CCCCAGCTTTATAGGAGCCTGTGAAGGACGAAAACAGCCTCCCCCCCCCCCCGGAGGCCCTCCGGAGGCTTCAGGGACCTTCAGGTGGCTTCCCTGAAGCCTCTGGAGGACTAAAAAGGACCCTACGAGCAAACCATAAGTCACTTCCGGTTTGCCATAGGGCCGGTTTTTTTCGCTCTGGAGGCTTCAGGGAAGCTTCTGAAGTCTCCGGAGGGCCTGGGGTTGTGGGGACCTCTTTTCGCCCTCCCCAAGCTCCTATAAAGCCTCTGGACCCTGGGGAGGGTGAAAAATTGCTTTTAAAAAGGCTGAACTCAACTAGCCAGGGCAACGCCTCATGTGCCCTGACAAATGGCTCCGTGTGCCACTTGTGTCACACATGCCATAGGTTCGCCATCCCAGGTGTAGGGTCTCCTGATTGAGTGGGGGTTTGGACTAGATAACCTGTTGTGGCCCAGCAGGAGCCGTTGGAGCTGCAAACAGACTCCACAGCGAGTGGCCTTATGAGTTGGCTCTGGAAGAGGTGGAGGACCCTGGACAGGGTTCCCAGTCCAAGCAGGGTGCAGAGAGGCTGGTTGGCCACCAAGAGGCGTCTGAGGCATGGAGCAGCGGTGAGAGCCGAAGGGAGTGTGCTCATGACATCAGGCCTTGGAGTAGTGACGAGGAGACAAGGGAGGTGGTTCTGGATGCCCGGCAACGCCGGGCAGATCAACGGAGAAAACAGCTACGCAGTTACAAAAGATAATTGGACTCAGCTGGTTGTAATTAGGCTCCTCTCAAGATTGTGTTTAAGGAGGGACTCAGGGAGGAGTATGATTTGCAGGATTCAACTTCATTCATAACGCTGGAGATGCTGTTATCTGTTTATGTCGAAGTCTGCTGCCAAGGTTCTTATCTATTTGTTTATGCTTGGACACCAAAGTTTATGTTTCCTGTTAATTAAAGTGCTGTAAATTCCAGTTAAGCTTGTCTCGGCATTTGTTACTGGATGGAGGAGGGGGTCAGAACAATAACCTATAAGGCCCTTCCAACTCTGTTAATTTGAATTAATTAAGCAAACACGGCAGTTGTTAAATGAATGTGTGGTCATTAAGTGAATACATTGTCCACAATGGCCATTTTATTTCCTGAAAATTGATGTCAACATTGATTTTGAGGGGAAAAACCACTGTCATATAACTGTGGGACATCACAATATACCAATATGCCAATACTGCCAATACACAATATGTAGTCGAGTTATCGGGAGTTCAAAATGTGGTCACATGCCTAAGGGGAGACTCTTGGAACGTTGAATCAAAGTTATAAGTACCATTTGGGAGGTCCATCATAACTTTGATGGAAGTTATAGGGCACTTCCCCATACAACAAAATCCCCCAACAAACAAACAAACGAGGGGATGACATGAAAACTATTAAGGAGACCAAAAGAGGAACTTATAGGGAGCTACTGCCTTCTCAGGACCTCTGTAGAATATACACTTTGCATATCATGGAACTGGTTGATTGGAGAGTGTTAGTTTATCTCACCCTGTACTCTGCCAAACTAACAAGAACTGGCTTTGTTTGGGATTAAATCAAGTGTTTTCTGTGGAAGTTGATAATTCTGCACCAGATATGACCACGCAATTCACAACACACAATATAACAAGATCATTTTATACAAACAAGGCCCACTGATATGTGCGTGTGTGCATGTGTATACAGAGCCATGGGGGCAGTGGTTAAATGCAGTATTGCAGTCTAATTCTGCCCACTGCAAACAGTTTGATTCTCACTGGCTCCAGGTTGTCTTCCTTCCTTCTGAGGTTGATAAAATGAAGACACAAATGGTTGGGGGCAATATACTGACTCCATAAACCATTTAGAGGGCTGTAAAGCACTGTGAGGTGTAATTTAAGTCTAAGTAATATTGATATATACAAGTGTACAGTGTACAGGGTAGAGGGGTGGTTGAACAGCATAATTTTCTATCTCAAGCATGAGACCAAATCTTTGTTTCAGATGAGTCTTTTCAAGAAAAGAAAAATAGAAATAACATAAGTAGGAATAAAATAAGAAAGTAGGGAAACCAGGCAGTTGGGGAAGACTAGAACCTAAAATTAGAAAAGATATGGCTTTATTTCAGAATTATAACATCTACAAATTATTTCTTTAGACGAACTATGTAATTACTGCTGTAGCAGCTCTTTTAATCAGGATGCCTCAGGGACAGCCCTCCTTGTTAAGGGGAATTTACATTTAAAAAGGCATTGTGTTAAATATAACACTGTCCTCCGGGGAACTATACAACCCGTTCAAATAACTGAAAAATCCTATCTCATTGAGAAGCACAAATAAGAGGAAAGCACAAACAGAAAGAAAGCCAGGGAAGAACAGCTACTGGCATGAAATCTTATGAGAACTCAAGTATTGTGGAATTAACAAAAGAGGAAGAATCCTAAGCATATTTGTTTAGATGTGAAAGTTGGCAAGATGTATTCCCAATGGCTCATTCCAGCTTATTTTCTGAATCAAATCCAACATGCCTCAAACTATTAGTTGCTGGGCAACCCAAAAGGGAAGAAGCTAACATGCTTCTGCTTCTAAGGTTCCCCATAAATATTGACCACTGTGGAACAGAGCATTGGACTAGACTGGCTTCTGGATTGATCTAACAGTCCATACAACATACACAATTTAAGGGCAGCTCAGATATGAATCCAGCCTAGAATCAACCTAGGAGGAAACACAGTAGAAATGCCTATCCTTGCTATTATAAAAAAAAATACAGGTAGTCCTTGAGTTACAATCACAATTGAGCCCAGCATTTATGTTGCTAAGTGAAACATTCGTTAAGTGAGTTTTGCCCCATTTTACCACCTTCCTTGAAACAGTTAAGTGAATCATTGTAATTAGGTAACATGGTGAAGTAAATCTGGCTTCCCCATTGACTTTGCTTGTCATAAGGTTGCAAAAGCTGATCACAGGACCCAGGACAATGCAACCATCATAAATATGAGTCAATGGCCAAGCATGTGAATTTTGATCACCTGACCATGGTCGTGTGAAAAATGGTCACAAATCACTTTTTTCAGTGCCATTGTAACTCTGAACAGTCACTAAATGAACAGTTGTGAGTCAAGGACTACCTGTATATTAGGGCCAAGTGTACAAGATGCCAAACGGCAAAATAATCCTGTGGTTTAAGCTGTTGCAGATATCATTCTCTAGAAGGAATTCTATTTTTATCCAGTTAAGTAGCCCAGGAAGATACTTTGCCTGATGGTATTAGAAACCACTTAAGATGCTTCCTTCAAATCTACATGATACAATAACTTATCATTATTATTTTTTTTAATATAATTTTTATTAAACATTACCTTTAAAAAAAACGGAAAAAACAATACAACGACATAAATACAACATAAGCAAGACCAGTCATACATAACAATATAAAGTAAAACATACAGATACAAATACCGTTTTAAACATACAACCCCCCCCCCCCCCCCCCCCCCCCCC